GTGTCTTTGGCTGTTGAGAAAATACAGTCAATAACAGAGCATACATATGTATTGTATGTATGCTACAACAACAGACTGTCGCCAGCCGGCAGGTACATTTCACACCGCCCTTGAAAAAAGACAAAAAGATTAAAAAAAATGTTTAAATAAATAAATAAAAGTCTGCGTAGCAGGGGTTAGGCTTTAGGCTTTAACCGCAGGATGCTCTAAACTGTGGCCTGGTAGAAGAGGAGCAACACTTATTGGTTGACACCAAAGCCCCTCGGCCTACTAAGGAACATTCTCTACCTGAACACTCCATGTCAGTTAGTTGTCGATGTGTACACCCAGGTATCTGTAAGAGTCAACCTGTGCTATGTTCTGCTCATTGATAACCACTGGTGAGTGGTCGCCAGTGGATTTGCGGTCCTCTGGTTTTTTTTACATTGAGGATGAGGAAGTTCTGAATTTCATGTTTGTATACAGCTGTATCTGATGTATCAGACAGGAGACCCAGGATGGCTGTAGTTTGCTTAACCACCCACCTTTTTCCATGCGGCACAACTTAAATTAGCATTTAGATTTAAAGTGGCAACAACTTTTTGAGTAAACAGTAGAAGCTTGTATCACTCAGCGGAGTGTTGACATGGATCGCCAGAGCAAATGATCAGCTGTGGACACATGGATTACTGCATTGCTCGGAATGGGTCAAGCTGCTCGACAATCTATTTAAAGCTGGAGTTACTCCGAGGGAGGGGGGCCGAGGGGGGATCTTAATATGTGATGTGAAGAGCCGGTGTGCGCGACAGAGCTACGTTGGTTTATTTTCCCTTCCAGTAACAACAAGACACAACACCGATCACAAAAGCTGTAATTTCACCCTGCTGCTTCACTCCTACTCTGCACTTCCCCTTGATGGTCACAGCCTTTCATATCTATAACTCCAATTCATTTATGACTTAATCATTTGTAGTGCCCAATGGCCAAAGAAGTACTTAAGACTTGTCTTGAAGCAGAAGTAATTCCACAGTCTAGAAATACTCTATTCTCTATACTCTATATAAAACTGTGTGTGTGGATTTCAACTCGTCCACTTCGAGCAGCAATCCAAAGAATCACACCCAGTGTTAGAATTAAGTCCACACCTTCATAAACCTAATTAATGTTGTGGGGTTTAAATGAGTAGTGTAGAATAAGTAGAAACTGCTCATTTACACTTACTCGAGTCCGACTACAGGTGGGAATCTGACCATCTGGTGACCTGGTGCAGCCAAAACAACTTGGAGCTTAACGGGCTGAAGACTCATCGAGTCCATCCTCTGCTCCTCCATCACCACATTATCCACTCTGCAGAGAGGGTGATCGTAGGGCTGGCCGGTATGGCCAAAAATCCACATAACGGTATTTAGATTCTGACGGTATGTGACGGTGTTGCTTTTTCAAGTAAACACATTAAGTCATTGACCCCGAAAAGGTCCGTCGCCGGCAACTCGAACCGCTGGTTGCCGCTCGCTATTCAACTTGCTCGTAATTGGCCCGTGTTGGTAGCTAGTTAGCCTATTAGCTCGTTAGCGTGTTAGCTTGTTGTGGCTGCTAATGTTGCCACCAAAGCCTCAACAGACTTTGCAATGAAGCATTTTCTGATGTAACGTGACTTACATCGGATTTTCGAAAACTAAAAACCCTCGAAATAGACACAGCTCCTCTCTTGGGCACAAGTTGTGTTGGTGCATCTCTGGTCTCTCGTTGTTCCTCTTGCATCGCTCTTTTCCATGTTTTCATGTAGCAACAGAGTTACCTCTTGTTGTGAGCTGCAGCGGTTCGACGGGACAATTTTATAAATGTACAATTATTAGTGATACAAATTGTTTATGTGTCACAAGCTGTTGTGTTGTTTTACCCTGTTAAAGAATTTTTGTTGTGGGTTATTCATTATCGTTAGAAATTATAACCATGACTCAATCTCAACACACGTAAGACAAGTAGCTCCGACCCCTACACGCTACTCGATGACGTCTAAAAATAAATTCTGCCGCCTGCCGAAGAGCGACGTCAGATGCCGGTATACTGCCCAGCCCTAGGTGATTGGCTGCAATCCGCCGTCCCTACAGGACTTGTTTGCTTCTAGGACCCTAAAGCGAGCTAGAAAGATGTAGCCGACCCCGCTCACCCCGGACAAAAACAGTTTGTGCCCCTTCCATCTGGCAGGAGGCTGAGGTCCATCAGGAGTAAGACCTCCCGCCACACGAACTGTTTCTTTCTGTCAGCAGTCGGGCTCATCAACAGAGCCCGGTCCCCCACGGACTGACTGACATCCCTTTTTCCACCATCACTTATATGCGCTCACAATACATTTGTGTAGAATATGGTATGAGCATCTGTGCGCCTGTGCACTTTATCTGTTTTACAAGTATTTAAGCTGTAGGTTGTCGCATAAAGCGCAGGCTGGCCGTTTTCCAACTTCTCGGTAGAAGGAAGGACCTATATTAAGCACACCTGTGAGAAAACCATTCAACTGATGGAGGCTGCATGACGCAGGGAGTAAGACAAAGAAGACTAAATTCACTGTTCAGTTTCTCCACTTGGTGCCAAATGACAGCAGCATAAATAAAACTGATCAAAACTACACGAGTCAGAGAACAACAAGGCATCGGTGGAGGTCATTGGATCCCTGGAGGAGGGGGCAGGAAAAGGCACTTCTGCAGCCGCCCCCCCAAAGCCAACCAGGTCAACCAGAAAATTAACGCCCCGCTGAAACAGCTCTCCAGAGTTCTCCATGTTCACCCACACACGCGCACGCGCAGACGCACACAATCACGTGCACACGCTAGGGGTCAAAATTGCTCAAAAATGATGAGTTTGAATATTCCCTTTAAAAAAACACATATATTCGAATATCTGGTTGCCCATTAGACGCGTCAATAACGACAAATTAACACAACGAGACATAACTACTTGTATAGGTAATTTATTTAAGTTTAAACCGATTTAACAACATATTACCTACACAAAAATAAGTAAATTAACTAACGGCCAAGACCGCAGATCTCTCGCTCGCACACACGCTCTCTCTCTCTCTCTCTCTCACTCTCCCGCACCGTCCCGCTCTCTGAGCAAAGCGGTTGAAATGAACCACAACAATAAACAAATGCTGAGTGCTGATCAAGAGTTTTGTGCGAGCAATTTAAGGTCGCGATTTTTGTCCCAAATATCTCTGGCTTCAGTCAGTGATTGAAACTGAAGGTTTTACAGTACCGGCATTGAACGCTCCGAGCGAGCTGCTGTAATCACGGAACTTCTCCTTGGCATGGAACTGAAAATAATCAAACTAGTGCATTTATCTGTTGTAGCCGATCTAGTCTATTTCATTCATGCAATATGGTTTTTTACATTTGAATATTCATTTTCACATACGGAAAGTTGTTTTTAACAACTATTCGAATTTAGAATTTCGTTGGCGGCCCTAGTAAGTATGAGCATGATGTTCACATGTAAAGATGCCACAGTTCAATATTCCAAAGCACAGCGCTAGCTCGGGCGCATGCTTGCTGTTATGAACAAAACGGCCCCTCTGTTGTCTTACTATTTAAGTGTCTTGTATTGTCTTTTAAACTGTTGGGATGACACACCAGCAGAAGTGGGTAAACATTCTTTTGTTTTAATGATGGCGGTATTGTGCTATGAAAACGGAAATATGAGACTCCATATAGGATGTAGTTAGCAGACCAATCACAGCCTTGCGGGCTGCAGGAGGCTTGCATAGCTTTTGACGCTAGTGTAGAAAATGGGTCGACGCACGCAAGGAGGGGTGAAATGGCACGCAAGGGTCACGCAAGGGGCTCTTGAGTCTGCAAGAACGGAGGCTGAAAGAAGGAAGGAACACAAAGAGTTTCTCGCCCTGAAGTCTCATCCATCTAGGATGGGCTACTCATTAGGCTCCACTGAGTTTGGATGGATGAGGGGATATCTCTCTCTCTCTCTCGCCCATCCCCATTTTTCTATCCGTCTCCTTGCCTCCCATTTCCAAATTTACTCCCCTCTTATTTCTGGTGTGGTGAGGAAGAAAGGAAAGGAAAGGTGGAGATGAGGTAACGAAAGGAGAGACGGGAGAGTGAAGGAAGGAGTCTAGGTGATGGGAGGTAAGGGAGGAGAGGAAAGTAGGGGGGAAAAATGTGAGCGGAGAAGGAGAGAAAAGGAAAGACAGAGGAGAGAAGGAACGGAGGAGGAAGAGGAGAGGAAAGGAAATATAGAGGAGCTCTCTGTGCCTCTTCTGCCTTTGATCACCTGGCTCGGATCAGACGGTGCCTCAAAAGCCTTACTCGCACGCCCATAACAACAGCCATGTGCCGCACGCACACACACTTGCCTAAGTCTTCATCTCCATGGCAACGGCACACCCCGGGCACCCTTGTAATCAACTTAGAAATTGGGAATAAAAGCGATGCGGTGGCACGCATGCGATGCCCGCACACCACAAATAAACACCGAAATGTAATTACAACAACATTCAGAACAAGGTCATTCAGTCCCCATGAGGATGAGCGTGGAATTGTCCGTAGCTCGGCGAGGAACAGAAAACCGCCCAAGATGAAAGGAGGGGGAATACATTTCCTTCTATTTGTTTTCTTCTGAAAAGTTTTTGTTTTACAGAAGAGTTCGGACAGGGAAAAAGAGACTCTCTTCCGGCCCGGCCGGTTCTTCAAATTACCTTTTGTGAACTCTAGGATATGACAGACCTTCATAAAAACCTCAAAACCACGAAACCTTTGCATTTCTCTCCAGATGTCAAAGGTTTTGGTATTGTGAGAAGGGAGAAAAAAAGGTATGGAAACCTTTTTTAAAAAAGACGTCATTATCGAAGCACAGGGCCTCAGGCGTTAAAACCAAGAGATAATGGGCTCTGAGGAGCAAGCGATGGACGTTTATCTTTGGATGATCAAGAAGACAGGACTACGCAGGGACAATAGGAAGCGACCAGAGCCCCCCGAGGGAGAATAAGACATGGAGGAAAGACGTCTTACCTTAGCCAACTGTGAATTCACCCATTTTGTGAAAGTCTTCTTCTGGACGTCTTCTCTTTCATCTGCCGGAAGAAAAAAAAAGAAGCACAATCAGGAAAAAGAAAAGATATTAAAAAAAGACTACTCGCAGTAAACTTTGAGAAATAAAACCCCACGTAGCAGACTCAAATTTTCTGACCTACACACACACACACACACACACACACACAGACGAGTGGTGCTCAGCATCAAGAGGATCCTCTTATTTTGCACAGGACTAATTGCATCCTCATCAAATCAATCAGGGAGTGAGTTGCCCACTATGAGACAACCCCCCACTCATCATGCGATAACAGTCCTCAAAGGAGCAAATGTGTGTTGATTATGTGATTAGAGCAGGTGTTGTTTCTTTGTTAACCAAGTGTCATTTGGAATGAAAGTAACACTTGGTATGAACAAAGTCTGAAGTTTGCTATAATGGGATTAATAGAAAAAAGTAACCTGTGTGGGTAAATACATGTCAAACTACCAGTGAATTATTATACTCAATAGTCAGTATATACAGAAACCGTAACACCTGTGATACCAACATAAAGGTATCATAGACTTAGACATAGACTCAGTCTTATTTCTGACCACAAAGAACAACAACTGTGATTTTACAACTTCACGGTTCTCTCCAGTCCCACTAGTTTTGCCATTACCTATTATTTCTTTCTTCACCGAGACTGAAGAGCGTCTGTTCTGTCAATCAACTAAAATAGGGGGCCATTTGGAGGAGTTCTGTGATGATATCTACACTGAAACTGAAGAGTGAACTAGGAGTGAGGATAAGGACCAGGAGAAACCGTAGAAGTCATTTACTCAGATACCCAATGATAGTCCCTCCCCCCCTTGAAACAGTCCCTTTCCCACTGTGTGTGTACTTCCCATTACAGAGCAGTGCGTTGTGGCCTGTGACACGTGTTACAATGCAAATGGCGACACGGTGAGTCCTAATAACGCCTCTCTCATTTGGCTGGAAACAGGGTCAGTACCCTAACTGCCGATAATAAATGACACTCATCGTCAAACGGAACATCAGGTTAAACATTACATCAGCGCGGCAAACAGTAGTCGCTCAGCGTGTGAGTGTGTGTGCTTGTGTTGACACCAGCAAGGCATTGACTAATGGAGCTGATAATGAAACTTCTCCCTTAATTAAAAGGTCCCGCGTTGAGCGGTGCACTGTGTTGAGACGCTGGACACACACGCAGGTACACACACAGACACACACACGCGCACACACACACACTCACACGCTCACACACACATCCAAAGTAATATAGGGGCACGCTGATGCTGAGCAATGAAGCGCGAATGAAATAGAAGCAAGTAGCACACGATCTAAAGCAGGGGATCCATTCCCATCAGTGTACAGCGTGCAGTGTTTTCCCATGATGCAAATGTAATGTTCTTCCTTGTGTGCGCGTCGTACCGGAGGTGGGCCTTGCAATCTCGTGGCGATATTGACATTGAGCTTTTTGGTCAAACATAGAGTGACGTTTGATTTTCTCTGTATCAATCAAAAACCCGCTTTGCAAATACGTGAAATTTAACTCTGATTTTGACTTTGCTCTGCACATACTGTACAAACCGGTTCTCTTGTACGAACCAGGACAATATAAAAATATAAGAAAAACTGGTGTAGGTAGAAACATAGACTATTACTACTATAACAACTATAGATATAGATATAATATATGCAAGAATACATATATAAAAACATAACTTAAACATATACAACAACCACAGTGAAGTGGAGGGGAAGTTCAAATGGAGTTACAGTATGACTGATTAAATGTTCACAAGGGAGACGGCCAAGCCGCAGATAAATATTGATATTGACAAACAATTGACGAAATACTAAAAGCAAGAAAAAAAAACACATGACTTTCACCATACCATTGTTTGTGTTTCTCTTGCTGTACTGTAACAGTTATTCTAAAAACGTTAGATAACAAGGTTTTGTCACGTTGCATACAAAACCCTAATTTGCTAAATCCAACCTAAGTGGCTCTGTAGGAAGTTTATTTTGAAAAACACCATATGCACGTAACGAGCACAAACTATCGGGTTCAACACGTACTCCAGAACCTTGGGCGCCGTAGTCTGAGGCAGAGGACCACTGTTTGAAAGAACCCCAGGGGGGGGGGGCAGGAAGCAGTTAAAGATCGACCGAGGGGGGGGGGGGGGGGGGCACACATCAATATTCCATTTAAACCACTGTTCTGCCACGGACACCTGCGGCAGCTTCGCGCAGTCGCCACACGTGCACATTAACGGTAACGGCTTAGTATCGGGAGGAGAGAGAGGTAGGAGAAGGAAATACATGTAATCACGGGGAGAAATAAGGGAGAGTAAAGACTGCAAGGAGAAAATAGATGTCTTATAACCAATGAAATGTCTTATAACCAATTAACCAAGGTCATTCGTCCAAAAAAACTCTTTTCATACATTTAGAGTTTTGTCATTTTTGTCTGAAGATGTTATAGGGCATCAGAAAATAATGAAAAATAAGGTGGACACTTTAAACTATTTTCTGTTGCTTTATAGACCAAATAATGAATATTCTTCTTATGTTCCTCGGTAGAAGATGTGTGTAGCCGTCTACTCTGAATTGGTAGAAAGGGCCCTGACTTATTTACTTAATTCAATTGTGTTTTTATTCCTAATCAGCGCTATATTATTATTATTCTTGGATCAATAAAGAAACTCAGAGATATAACTTAAGTTAACTTAACAAACTGCTAGACAAATGTACCTTCTCAATAGATGTTCCCACTTTTTAAGCATTGAAAATAATAAACACACCAAGAAACCGTTTAAAATTCAAGTGTATCACTTTAATCTAAGACAATGAATTAAAATAAAACAGGATAATGAGTGTAGTCTTAACTTTGTGTTAAACTATGAAATATTACATTAAATCAAATAACGTTTTCTCTACACACTTTTCCTTTTGACAGTGCCACACACAGCACACCCCAGCTGGCAAATTAACCTTTACGTAACAATAGTTTGACCGGATAGTTAGCTAAAAACTGTCCCGGTCAGGAGAAAGTCACGTTAACTAACATCTGGCCTGGTTCGGTGCTCGGGATCGTAGAAACCCAAAACTTAACAATCATAAAAGTACACAGAGTGGTACCTTTTCTCTGAAATGAGGCAGACAAGGTGACCGGTCCACACGTGTCCGTCCAGGAGCACGATGCAGGGGGGGGAATATTCACGGAGCAGGTGGTTATCCAGTGTTATCCAAAAGAACTCTGCGCATTACCGGGCAACTCAAAGCGCTACCTGGTGGTCCTCTCGGTTAACCGTTGCCAACAGTCCAGACGAAGCCACGGCGATTAGCTGGGTTAGCTAGCAGCAGGCTAAAGTCCGTCCACGTAGCTAATTGCCGTTAGTTAATTCACAGCGTTATCAAAACTTCATGTGGAAGTTCACTTCTACTTCTCACACAGGTAGTCCACAAATTATCTTGCTTATTCATACTTTATGGAAATATTACCCTTTCTTTAGCACTTTTGACAAAAGCCGTTTTTCCACCTCTCTCTCCCTCTCCCTCTTCCGCTCCCTCGCTCGCGCTCTTCCACTCTCGCGCCCCCGTCCGCCCAGTCATGTGACCACATACACTACTGGCAGAAAACCTTCAACCAAATCAACTGCTTCTATCAGCAAGGCAACATAAAAAACAGCAATGCACTTTTAACATTCTTACCCATGAACTGCATTTCGTTGCCTCAGTACTTGTACCCTGTGCAATGACAATAAAGGTGAATCTAATCTAAAAAAAAAGAAAAAACATTATATTTGATTAAATATGTAGTTTAAACATTAACACTATTAAAACTATTTATCAATACTGGATTTATGCATGTGCTTTGTGTGGAGCTCTTAAAAGAAACATTGAGGATTGCTAGTGGCAAGATAAGTGAGTTCAAATGGCCGTGGGTGGTTTCTTAGTTGGAAAAGAGTCGGCAGGATCTGCAGTGACGGTGAGGAAAATAATTACTCTGACTGGAGTCTTTTCCAGCCCGACTCTTACACGCTGACTGAAAATTGCAGAGTGCCCGGGACAGCTCACGGATCAGCACTCTGGACAGCGACTGTGGCAGAGCAGCCGACCGGCGGTGTATAAAACTGACCAGTCAGAGCTTATACGTTGAGCCAACTCATCGCTTCTAAACGGTTAATGGACTGGCACAGCGCTTTTTGGAGTCTCACAGCCACTCAAAGCGTTTTAATTCTACTGGCCATTCACGGCCATTTATACATTGAGGACGGGGGCCATGTGCACATCAGGGCCATTTTAACTAAGATCCACACCAATTTACACTCGAAATGCACAACCTTGGTGGTCCCGGACACCTAAACTTTGAAACGTATGGTTGGTTCATGAGCCTGGGATAACGTCAGCCCCTCCACTCCTCTTGATCCGTCTACCTTTTGTCGTACATTTTGTAATTTGAGGGCATAAAGGACTTTTGTGAAGGTGGTATTTATCAAAAGATTTCCCTCCGGACACCTGCTGGGATTTGTGCTTCGCTGAAATAAAAAAATCTCTTCAATTGATCTTAAAAATGCCGTCCTCTGTTCCCTTGAGAGAAACCATTGGAGAGCCCCCCCCCCCTCCTCCGTCAACAGAGGCCTTGCAGACCTGAAGCCACTCGTCAAACTGAAAAGAAGAAAGAGGGCATGCACTCACGACACAGGCTGCTGCATCGAAGCATTCGTCCGGCCCCCAAAGTCCTGTGAAACTGGGGGGAGGTGGACTCGATTCGTACTTTTAACCCATTGAGTTTTTCAGCTGATGCCGGCAGCAAAAGCGGTAGCTTGTTTCGGCGCCTTGTGGGAGCCAGCTGGAGCGTGTCCGCACGACATGAAATATGGAAATGTACGAGTTCAAGATGCAAAAATGTGCGAGACTTTGCATGAATGTACTTACTCTCCTGGTCATTACTAATGCCCACAGCTAGGCCATTCATCCATCCATCCATTGTCACACCGCTTATCCTGCATACAGTGGCGCGGGGGGGGG